TGCCTGCTGATCCCACTTAGATGGAGGCAGGAGGACCAGAAGCTCAAGCCATTCTCAACTACATAGGAAGTTTGTGGTGGTTTGAAAGAAAATGGCCCCCTAAGTGTCACTATTAAGAGGTGTCACCTTGTTGGAGGAAGTGTGGCCCTGTGGAGGCCGGCTTTGAGTTCTTTTATATGCTCAAGCCACACCCAGTGAGATGGTTCACTTCCTGTTGCCTGCTGATTAAGATATAGCACTCTCAGCTCCTGCACTATGTCTACCTACATGCTTCTATTACCCATCATGATAATAATGGACTAAACCTCTGAAACTGTAAGCCACCCCATTAAACTTTTTCCATTATAAGAAATGCCATGATCATGGTGTCTCTTCACAGCAGTAGGAACCCTGAGACAAAGTTCAAGCCTGGGCTACATGAGACTTTGTCTCAAACACACACACACACACACTCACACATACACACACATGGGTCTGGGGGGAGCCTTAAGAAACTTTTGTCTCAGTCATATTCATTATGTTATAGTTATCTTGTAATTTGGACTCCAGCATCTACCCTGCAGTTAATCACTTCCAGAGGGAGCCCCATTAGAGTTGCTTCCCTCTCAAAACACTCCCATGGCCCCTCACACAGGTCCTCAAACTCACCTGGGTATGTGCCTAGTCAGAATCTTTTTACTCTTGGGGTTGGCACCTTGTCTCCATGTGACTCTGGCCCTGTTCGGTGGCTGAGGCTTTCCCTAACATTTCAGTGTAACAATGCAGCCACCATGAAACCCATTTCTCCAAGTCCATCTTCCTTGTTTTAACCAGCATATTGAAGCAGCTGATGTGTCCTGGGTAAACTAGGGGTGGGATGGAGGGTTGGGAACATGATGGTCAGGATGGTTGAGTTTAGGGAGGTACCAAGGAGGGAGTGTAATGAAAGATATCTTGATAGAGGGGGCCATGTGGGGTTAGGGGAAATCTGATGCTAGGGAAGCTTCCAGGAACCCACAAGAATTACTCCAGATAAGACTCCTAGCAATAGTGGAGAGGGTGCCTGAACTGACCTTCCCCTGTAATCAGGATTGGTAATTACTCCTGTCATTATAGAGCCTTCATTCAGTAACTAATGGAAGCAGATGAAGAAATCCACAGTCAAGTACTGGGCTGAGTCCTGGGAGTCCAGTTGAAGAGAGGGAGGAGGAATTATTTGAGCAAGGAGGGGGTCAAGATCATGATGAGGAAACCCACAGAGACAGCTGGCCTGAGCTTGTGGGAGTTCATGGACTCTGGACTGTAAAAGGAATGGCGGGCCACTTTCCACTGCCCGCCCGGCTAGCTTTACCCGAAATAATTACACTGAAACTGTATTCTTTTAAACACTGCCTGGCCCATTACCTCCAGACTCTTATTGGCTAACTCTCACATATTGATTCAACCCATTTCTAATAATCTGTATCTCACCACGAGGTCGTGGCTTACCGGGAAATATTTAGCATGTCTGACCTGGCCGCTTCATGGTGGCAGCTCTCCGCCTCTGCTTTCTTTCTCCCACAATTCTGTTCTGTCTACTCCACCCACCTACGAGCTAGCCTATCAAAAAGGCCAAGGTAGTCTCTTTATTAACCAATGAAAGTAACACATAGACAGATGACCCTTCTCCATCACTGGACTGGCAGCTAGGGAACCAGCACAGGACCAACCTAGACCCTTTGCACCTGGATGACAGTTGTGTTGCTTTGTCTTTTGTGGGGACCCTTGCAGTGAGTCCAGGACCTGTCCCTGATGCATGAGCTGTCTCCTCGGAACCTATTCCCTATCATGGGATGCCTTGCCCAACCTTGATGCAAGGGGGAGGAGCTTGGTCCTGCCTCAACTTGATATGCTATGCTTTGCAGACTCCCATGGGAGATCTTGCCCCTTCTGAATGGAGATGGAGGAGTGAATGGGGGGGTGTAAACAGAGACTGTGCTTTCATTTCCTGGCCACCCAGACCCGAATAATCGCACAAAACTCTAATAATTACAACACTGTTTGGCTGATGACTCAGGTGTATTTCTAACTAGCTCTTACATCTTAAATTAACCCATTTCTATTAATCTGTCTATCACCATGAGGCTGTGGCTTACTGGTAAGGTTCTGGTGTCCTTCTCCTTTGGGAGATACATTGCATCTGCCTGACTCTGCCTTCTTTATCCATGCATTCAGTTTAGTTTTCCCTCCTGGCTCTATTTTGCTCTGCCATAGGCCAAAGCAGCTTCTTTATTAACCAATGGTAACAAAACATATTCATAGCATACAGAGGGGAATCCCACATCATGGGGATAGAAGGGAGGGAATGGGAGAAGAAGAGAGAGGGGAAACTGTTGTTGGTATATGAAATAAATGAAAATTATTAAGATGGTAAATTGCTTCATATATATGTATATATATATATATATACTTAATTTGAATAAAAAAGTTCTTTTTTTCTTTTCAAAAAAAAATCAACTGACCAAGTAGAGGACTTCCCTGCTTTAGAACAAGCAGTACTTGGGCCAGAGATGGTCAGAGGTTAAGAGTCACTGCTGCTCTTGGAGAGGACCTGAGTTCCATTTCTAGCATGCATGTCAGGAGCAGACAAATGCCTGTTATTGCAACTCCAGGGATATCTAATGTCCTCTTCTGGCCATCACAGGCACCTGCACTCACATGTGTGTGCACATGCATATGTGTGTGCACCTCCCCACACTTAAATAATACTTAACAGGAGTTGTGGCTCCTTCCCTGGGGATTCGATGGTTAATGTTGATTGTCAGTTTGATGGGATTCAGAATCTCCATGGAAATAAAACTCTATGTGAGGCAGTTTCTAGATTAGGTCATCAGAGGCGCGCATCCATGAGAATGGATAGCATCACACACTTGGGATCTCAGACCGAATGAAAAAAGAGAATGCGAGCTGAGACAAGCATTATTCCTATGCTTCCTGATGGTGGGCACAATGTGACGAGACACTTCTGAAGTTCCTATTACCATGCATCCCCACCACGATGGACTGTGTCCCTTGGAACTGTGAGCCAAAACAAATCCTTCCCTCCTGAAGCTGCTTTTGTCAGCTATCCAATCACAGCTACAAGAGAAAGAACTAATGCCCCAGAGTTGGACAGTCAGTTGCTCTTCTAGTTTGCTTTCTATTGCTGTGACAAAGACACAGAGCAAAGGCAACTTGGGGGCAAAGGGTTTATTTCTGTTTATACTTCCAGGTAACATGCTTAATTTTAGCGAGGGAAAGCAGAGCAGGAACTGAAGCAGAAACCACAGAGGTGGAACATTGCCCACTGGTTCCTCTCTGGCATGTGTTCAGCTAATTTTATATATGGATGAGGGCCACTTGCCTAGGGATGGTACTGCCCATAGTTGGTGGGGCCCTTTCAGATCTATTGAGACCATCTCTTATAGATATGGGCACAAGCCCATCTGAGACAATTCTTCATTTGAAGTTCCCTCTTTACAGATGACTCTAGGTTTATGCCCAGTTGGACAATAAAAACCAACAAGAAGAGTTGGTAAGGAGGGGGTGGGAAAGAGCACCCACAGAAGGTTCCAAGTGATCGAGGCATGGCTGCTGGCATTGTTCAGAGGTACTGTCCCCACCTTTTGTACTGCGAGTGTCAACAGGCAGGTTATAATGTGATTCTCATGAGATATAGCAACCTGAGAGCAGTTTCAGCTCATTCCCATCCCTGGTAAACATACACACAAGAGCAGAACCATCTTCCCCAGTCCCCAAAGCTCTTCCAGCAGACACAGCCAGCCCTTCATGTGGTCCAGTGCCTAAGACCCAAGCAAGTGAGCCTAGCTGTCTGTATTGGCCAGGGTTCTCTAGAGTAACGGAATTTACAGAATGACTTCATGCACGCACATGCGTTCTCTCTCTCTCTCTCTCTCTCTCTCTCTCTCTCTCT